CCGACCAAGTTCGCGATCGTATGCGTAACTCTCCAACGGAGATCGGTAATCGACAATCGGTGACACCGGGAAGGAACTCTGTTCGCGTTCGCGCGCGATTGAGCGGTACCAGTCGGGCTGCGTTTTGAATCACTGTACGTGTACGTGGGTGTATGAGTGTGAGGGTGTCTGTGAGTGTGTCGCGCGCGCGCGCGCGCGCGCGTGTGTGTGTGTGCGTGCGTATGTGATTATACGATCTCGAAGGCCTTCCTACGTCACCGCTTGGATGAAGACTCGTAGCAGTGCTTGTTCGCGCCGAATTCGAGTCACTCACGTCCGACGTAGTCGTCCCTTAACCCTTTTTAGACACTGCGTCAGGTTCTTCAACACATCATCATCGAACCAGAAACGATCGGGCGCGAGATGGGAATGTGCGACGTACGCGCCACGATGCGAGGCGAGGCGAGGCACGAAATCGACGCTCACGCACACCGGGAGACGAAGCTCCGTGCTGGAGCAATGGTTCAACGACGGCGGGTTCGCAGGAAGCGAATCGACTGCGCTCGCGTGCGACTGCCGACGGCGATGAACCAACTGAGGATTCCGACGGGAGCCGTTCTGCGTGCCGAAAGAGCGCGCGTGAGCGAGAGAAACGTAGAAGAAGAGCGTGGCAGCGGCGGGGGAGAGCGAGAGGGAGGGGGGGAGGGAGAGAGAGAGAGAGAGAGAGAGAGAGAGAGAGAGAGAGAGAGGCGCTCGGAGCAGCGGAAAGAGGGAGCAGACCACGTGGTCAAACTCTGTGTTTACAAGCCGTGCCGTCCGGAGGTCACGTGGCCATGTTTTGATAGGAAGTTGGCCCGCTACGGGTAGATGTACGCTCTACGTCGTCGTCGTTGACGATGGCTGCTCGGGCACGGTATCGCGACGTGATTCACGTGGCCAACACTCTTCTGCTTCTGTACGGTCGGCGGGATTTTCGGTAGAGACCGCCGACGGCGCGAGACCGACGATGGCGATGATGACCTTTGGTGCCCTCGTTGCCCTTGCAAGACCGTTCCCCCTGATATCTCTCATCGATACCCTCGGATCCTCCGATTCCGAAGCTGTCGCTCCGCGCGCGCGAGTACTCCTCTCGCGATCTTGCGCAGTCCTCGACTTTTGCAAATTTCTGCAAACGTAAATGACGTGTGTAAGCTGTCGTTCGGTTGATTGATAATTCCCTCGCTCGTGAGAAACGACGTGAGATTCTCTCTCGCACGTATCGTCTGAGGAAAGAAAACCTATCCACTACGTACAACTTGCCGGCAAGGCAGCGCGGCGCATACTGGCGAAATTCCTCCGGCCGGCGCTCGGATTGCTCGGAACCGACCGAGCGGAGCCGAAGTTACGAGGAGCGAATTTGCGACGCCTGTCGCCGCACTTCGGCGCGCCGATCGTCCGACGGCGGAGGGGGGAGTGAGTAGGGAGAGGAACGAGGAAGAGACAACCGCCGAGCCGAGAGAGAGAATCCTCGACAAACGGTAGGGAGATGTACGCGGAGAGTATCGTAGAGTAGCGTAGCTGGTGGGTGTCTCGGCTGCCTCGGAAGGGGTAAGAAAGCCAGAGTGGGAGACGGGCGATAGTGGGGGATGAAGAGAAGGACGAATGGGGGCGAGAGAGACGGCTATAAATTGCAACTTTGTGCAACATAAAAAGGAGTGGGAGACGAACGAGGGAAAAGGACAGGGTATCGTGCCACGACTCTAAGGTGGGAAAAGGATGACAGAACGTGACGGAGCTGAGGAGGGAGAGTGCAGCGTGCTCGTACTGCTCGTCTACCGGGTGGGCGGGAAAAGGAATATAACGCTGTACCCCTAGGGTTAGGCATCGTACTGCGCACAGAATCCGCGGGGAGGGAATTTGCACGCGGTACATCTCCTCTCTCTCTCTCTTGCTTTCTTTTCCTTCGTCTCCCCCGTCCATCCTGTCCTATCTCTCTTCTCAACCTCGTATCTCCTCCCGCCATTCCGCCGCGATAGTCCTATGTTCTCTCTCGACTCGATTTTGCGGCAACCCTTCCGGTACTTTTTCGTATCGCTGCTGTGCGACTTGTAGAATCCAAAGATTCCCAACGGCCGATCGAAATAACTCGACCTGTTGTTTTCGGTCTGCATGCCTATCGAATGGTACAGCGTCCTCCGAAAGCCATGAAACATTCCTGAATATGTTCGCGAACATTGTTGTATCGCGGCGGCGCGGCGGCCGGATGCGAATTCTTCGTCCAAGCGTTTGACGAAAAAAATTCAAGTATAGTTTAATTTGTTTTTACGTTTGCGTATAAAGTCTTGAATAATGATTTTCACGATAGAAAGACATTTTTTTCACGCAGTCTTTTATATTTCAAATGACGTGCATTAAAAAAAAGAAGAGACTAAAAAAATTAACACAAAGTCTCCAGAAGCTCTATAAATTATAATTTGAAATAATACAGTGTAATAATAAAAGGGGCAATGAGCTTAGCACGCGCTGATAGTGCAACTAGATTTTTTACTTTCAAATATGCAATATACAACGATTCTCTAAACGTTTCGGTTCCCAAAACCGTCCTCAATGGACAAAAAACTTACAATAACATAATTTCAATCTGCATTATTTATTGAGACGCTGTTTTACGATCCTCTTCTTTAGTTGAAAAATTGTTAACATCTTATTTCAAACATCGGTTATTTACTTCGAGTGGTAATCCTTGGTCATTGTAAAATGGATGTAAGGCAAGTCACACATTTATACTATTGTAAAGCAAGTCACACATTTATACATTTATACTATGCGGACTTAAAGATTGTGTATGACATTTTTATAAACAAGTTGATAAGTCGACAGAAAGTCAACATTGAGACTAAAAAATACACCGATTTTTAGGTATGAAATCTTTTATGTTTAATATCAGGAATGATATTATGCAAGCGAACTGTCGAAATTATTACACGAATTATTTTTACGATAAAATCTTCCAATTAATGTTCATAATTCAACTGAATCGAAACGTTCATCTAAATAAATTTGAATCTCAAACAACTTTACAAAGAATTTAAGATATTTTCAAAGTGTTCGTGTAATCAGAACTTTTAAAAAGAGATAAATGTATTTAAAATTATCATTAACGGTTTAAGTGGATTCTAAAGTGATAGGATCTTCTTAAAATGTCATAGAATTCCCTTAAAATGTTAGTGATAATTTTAATGGTTTTACGTCTCTTTTTAAAAGTCCTGCTTGAAAAGTACACACAGAAGACGATTAAGGTGCACATGTCCAAAGTATTGTAGCTACAACCTTTTCTAACTGCGTAGCTATTTTCGACGTAGTCCGTCGAGATCATATTCCAAAGTATTCAAAAGAACTCTGTTTGCCCGTCCTCAAAGAAACCGTCAATTATATGCAATAATTAAATGCACTTTCTATCGCAACAAATTCTTTAGTACTTTTTATGCGCTCTTAATTATTCGTCAGTGCTCGATGTTGTCGAGCAAATGCACTTTCTATCACAACAAATTCTTTAGTACTTTTTATGCGCTCTTAATTATTCGTCAGTGCTCGATGTTGTCGAGCCGATCGAATAACTCCGAAACCCTCCTCCGTCCTTCAATTCGGCCATTGTCCGAGGTCTGTTGACATAAATCCCACGCGCTGAAGATATCCCCCATCCATAAAAAGAAGTCGGCAGTGCTGCTGAAAGGGCAGGTAAATCCGGCCATTGCAACCCGGTTGAAACAAGAAACGACGACGCGCTTGGTGGTGGCCAAACACGTACACGCGAGTATATATTCGTGTCGTCCTGTGCGGGCAGCTCCGGCTAACTTAAGGGGTACTGTCACCATGTGTAATTATGCACTCTGAACCTTCGATTGTCCGGCGGATATCCCCGATGCACCCATTGCTCAATGTTGTTTGCGCGTGAGCTAAAAACAGCACGCCGTAGCTCACCGCGTCCGTGTACATACAACCGCGCGAACATGCCGCCTGGCTATAAATAGAAGATGAATGGATTCTTAAGGACTACCTGATCGAGTAATTGTACAAACAATTTCGAGTACTGCAACTAACTATAGCATAATTGTAAATTATACTTGTATAATGGGCTGTATTAGTTTAAGTACATTTACTTTATACAGGCAATAAATTGCTGCAGCCCCTGGCTGTTGATTAATCCGGAAAAGGACCGAGACTGCTAGTATAGTACGTATAGTAGTATTTACCTATGTAAAGAAAATATAATTGCAGGCAGTACGCGCGAAAACCCAATGGAAAAACCCAAACATGTTGACATGTAATCAATTTCGAATTTTTTTCTAAATTCAAAAAAAAATATACACTTGGTATAAACAATAATACAATAATAAAATCTTATATTTGCCAATTTTTATACCTACTTTATTCGAATTTTTAAAATTTCAAGTGTAAAATATAATTTCAACTCAATTATTTCTTCCTTTGCTTTGGCTGTTATAATGCTCAAGTATTCATTTGAGAGAGTTATCTACTATTTTTTGTACCAGAACTAAGAAGATATGTGACATAATAAAAGTTACGAAACGTTTGAAATTTTTTGAACGTTCCTAGATTTTTATTTCGACTGTACCCCCTTTTATAGG